AAAAAAAAAATGGCTACATTCCCCTCGGGGATTAAAAACATGTTACACATATTTATCTGTAAGAGTGAAATGTTATATGCTTATTTTTCGCTAAATATTTTAATGGACCCGTCACTTGAGGCTGTTAAAAAGTGGTTTTCATAACAAACGACCTTGTTGATAGCATTCGGTGAGTGCCTAAAGGGAAAAGAGTAGTGATCGTGGGCAGCATTCCACATATGTGTAACGGTGATGTCGTTACAATGTTTTTTTTGTTGGTATGACAGGATACGCACTGGTGTAAGCACAAACATAGGGGCGCGAATGTAGAAATTCTCCTCCTCATCACATATGCGTAACTGCGCCACGAATATATGCACAAATGCAAAGGCCCTACCTGAGCGTTTTCCCAATTTTGTTAACCGCCAGATTCAGCTGGTTACTATAAATGTCCATATCTACTAAAGCCTTTTCGTTATCATTCACGAATAAGTTGCAGTCCCACATTTGGATAAATCCGTCCCTGCAGGGGTGAGAGAAGTGGAAGAGAAAAAATGGGGTGTAGAGATGGAGTGTACAGAGTGGGTGAACAGATGGGGCGACAGAAATGCCGCTAACTGCGCTCGTACCTATCCGTCGTAACCAGCCCACTGGTTTGATATTTGGCAATACTCGTTATGTCTACCATGTGGGCATTTTTAACAATTTTCATGAACCGGTTAAACTCATTCGTTGTGCTGTCTGTGGCGTAAAGCCAAAAGCGCAGGTGAGAATCTCTACTTCCAGACACGATTAACGAATCATAATTGAACAAATTATTTGCATATTCGGCTGACTCCTCCTGTAAGTTTGGGGTACCTCTATTTTTCATCAAATCAGAAACGTTAAAATTGGAGAGAGAAGTGCACCAATCGTAGGAGGGGGGATAAAAAGACACCCATCCTTTTTTCCATATTTTGACGGTCTTATCTCTGCTTGCTATTATGATATTTTTTAATATATTCGAATCCTTTGTAATATTTTTCCCATTTTTTTTCATGGGAATTTGTGTTATGTATTCGACTTTATTTGTTATTGGTATTTTGGCTAGCCACATATTGTCATCATTTTTTCGTATGTCAAAAACTTTAATAAAGTTTTCATTTCCGCAGGCACATATGCAGTACTCGGATTGGAAATTCTCGGCATCTCTTATGGGTTTTAATTTGTCCATTCCGTCTTCTTCAGCTGCGTCTGCTTTGCTATAGCAGAGGCTGCTTGTTTGGTTGCCCCGTTCGTTGCAGCGTTCGTGGGTCGCACTGCCAAGGTTTTTGTTGCAATTTTCGTGGCTGACGCTGGCAACGTTGTTGCTGCAAGTTTCGTGGGTCGTGCTGGAAGCCTTTTCTTCCTTCCATTCCATGGAGAGTAGGTGCTTAATGGAGGTGTCCCATGGCACATTCCCAACCACATCTTCACCTGCGCTCCGCTCCATCAGATTGTTCACGCCTTCGTAGGTATAATCCCCTTCTGCCCGTGCGCTGCTAAGAATGGAGATTCCCCCATTTTGTAACAAGAAAGGCACATAATCTGACTTATCATTTAGAAGTGAAATTAACAAGCTACCATCATTTTTGTCACTATAGTAATATTTCTGTAAAGATACGGGATTTGTTCTAATGTCAAATAGGTGTACATAACTGTTGATGCCAGCAAAAAAGCAATTCTTTTGAAAAGACACAATTAGGCTGTTTATAAATGTGCTCTTTTCATTTTTTAAATTCACATGGTCATAATTCCACACAGCTTTTTTACCATCCCATAGCTTTATATTATTTATTGAGCTACTCAAAATGGTAAGAGCCTTACTATTTGATCCTTTAACACATAATCCACTAACCCCATATTTATGGCAGTTTTTCATGCACATAGTTTTGTACTTTTTCTGTGTAATCCCTTTGTTAAATGGGAACTCTTCTCCCATATTATTATCCGCATCGTAGTTCCCACTGTTGACAATATTTCCCTTAATTTTCTTTTCCATGATGTGGATGCTACCAAATGATTCGCTGTTTATTCCTATATCGTTCATTTTATTCTTGAACATGTTGATGCTCTCCTCGTGTATCTTTTCTATCTTTTTAAAATCTTCCTTGTTGATTCCGTACTGCAGATTGTTACTCCCGGTTGCTTCCCCCCCTTCGTTTAGCTTACCGTAGCTCCCGCAGTTGGTTTCATCTCTATTGCTCCTGCTGTTCCACTGGGAAGTTGACGCGCGGTCCACTTGGAGCTCTGTCCTTTGAGTCCTATGCGAGGTGTCGTCCCTCTTCTGCACTAACACAGTGTGGTGGAGTGGTTCATCCGTCTGGTTCGCTGACAATTTGTTTATATTCGACTTCTTCATCAACTTCGTTTCGGCATCTATTGAGGCGTCTTTTCTCCGCATCTGAGATTTCTCCTCCGAGTTTCTATTCCGTATCTCCTTATTCTGCGCAGTTTGGTGCCCCTCTGAACTGTTTTCCGCTACAGTCCTAATGTTCGCCTCCCCCGTCACGATTGTCCCATCCATAGAGGTGTCATTCGATTTGTTTTCCTTTTCTTTGCAAGCACGTCTGACATTCGAGACATCACCAACAATCCTGCTATTACCGTCGGCGCTCTTCGACTTGATGGAGCAAACTTTTGGCTGCCTTTTCTTCACTACATCTGCACTGGCGCCGTTGAAAGTGCGCACCGTTTTGCTCACCTCTGTTACTTCCTGTTTGTGGTCCTCCCCGATGGGGCCTCTGCTGTCATTCGTGTTGCGGGTTGCATTGCCGCTTATCTGTCTTGGGGCCAAATTGAAGTCCAATCTATTCTCTCCGCAATGTTGATCGGTCCGACCATACGGGGGTGAGAAATTCGCCTTGCTTTCTTCCGCGATGGGGATGCCACATGGGCTGCTGTACATGCTGATTGCCGTGCCTACCGAGCAATCTCTACTGTCGTACTTTCCGACAATGGTACCATCCTCCTTTTTCGCTGTGTCGCTTGGTAGGAAGTCCTTTCCATCAATGTGCACGTTTGTCAATACACAGTTTAATTCCTGGCTGCCCTTTTTCATCTTATAGGAAATAGGGTCTCTTTTTTTCCCCGGAATGTTGCAACCCTCGTGTTGAACGCGTCCTTCTAATGGTTTCGACGATAGGAATTCACTTCTTCCTTTTGGAAAAGCGTCACTACTGATGGCTTTATTTACGGTGGGGCAGTGTATGCACGAATCGACTGGAGACGACTTTTTCTTATCCCATTTGCTATTGCACAAAGGTGATTCATTCTCTGGTGCCTCCGCTCCTTGGTAGGGCCCTCCTTCAGATTTACTGCATAATAAACCTTGGCATGGGTCGGAAATGGTGACGTCCCTTTGTGTCTTTTCTTCCTCCCCCTTAGGGCCTTTTGCCTGGTAATGCCCCTTT